GGGATGGTCATGGGAAGAAGTAACTATGGGGAGGAGGTGGGAGGGGAGCTGTTGCATTGTGGTAAACTGTGGTCAATGACATGAGACAAAGTATATGTGAACTGCTGTGTTGAATGTGAATTTGCTCTGTAAATCTTCACCCAAATCACAATCAACCAATAATAAATAAATAAATAATAGATATATAAATAAATAAAGAAAAGAAAAGGAAATCAGACATAGGCAAATCTGCAAAAACCTTCTTTGAATTGTTTTGAGCAAAGTTGCCACTTTGAAGACTAAGGTGTACTTAACCTAATCCATGGTATTTTCAGTTGCCTCATATGCATGTGAAAGCTGCACAGTGAATAAGGAAGAACGAAGAGGGCTGATGCCTTTGAATTGTGGTCTTGGCAAAGAATATTGAAAATACTATGGACTACCAGAGGAATGAACAAATTTATCCTATATGAAGTACAGCCAAAATGCTCCTTAGAAGCAAGAATAGCCAGACTTCATGTCACCTACTTTGGTCGTGTTGTCAGAAGGAACCATTTCCTGGAAAAGAATGTGCTTAGTAAAGTAGAGAGTCAGTGAAAAAGAAGAAGACCCTCAACGAGATGAATTGACACAGTCGCTGCAACAGTGGGCTCAAGCAGAGTAGGGATTGTGAGGGTGGAACAGGACTGAGCAGTGTTTCGTTCAGTTATCCACAGGGTCGCTTTGAATAGGAGCTGACCGGACAATACTTAACGACAACTTAGAAACATTAGCTTATTCCTTCTATTTTTCTTAAAAGCAGCAGTAAGAAATTATATATGTGGTTTTTCATATATAAATAACTGTTAAACGTGTTTAAATAGCATTTCAGGTACTACATTAAAGTTGAATTATCTATTCTTTTTGTTTTGTTACTCATACCTTATAAGCTATAGTCCATTGGTGTGAAGCCACATTCCATTGATATTATTGTCTTAGCTTTAATTACTTTTAAGTTTTTAGCCTCATTTTCCATTCTTCAAAATCACTTTTGCTTTTTTGTTTGCTTTTATTTCTTTGTTCATAAAGCTTTTTTGTTTCTATTACATTGTGTAGTTTTGTACCAATGGCTAGAAGCAGATCGTCATGGCAAGAGCCAAGATGCTGCAAATGCGACTTCAGGTAAAAAAAAAAAAAAAAAGGTGTTAGAAATTATTTTAATTCACCCTGAACCCGTTGTAAATGCTTCTCTAATCAATTTTTCTTGGATAAACTTACATTACTTTGTATATCTATTCTTGGATTTGCATCTTTGTTTTTATAAAGACCTCATTTGCTTCAAGCCTTGAAAATAGAATTCTGTAGGTCTTATGCTGTCTTGGCAGATATGTTCTATTTTGTGGAAAGGTATCATTGAAGCTTAAATCTAGGAAGAGGGTATTGGCAATATTACTTGGAATTAAGCCCCTATATGTAGTTTTAGCAGGAGATGTCAATATTTGCACAGATTTATAATCCTTTTTAATTTCAGGTTGATGTTTAAAAGATTGATTTTAACTTAGACTCTTAAGTGTAATTTCCATTCCTAGGAATACAAATTCTTAAACTTAGTCAGATCTCCTGCTTAGTCTTAGTAGTAAGGGCAGTGGTGGTTCAGTAGTAAAACTCTCAACTTCTATGAGGAAGACCACCGTTCCATTCCTGGACAGTGTACCTCAGTGTAGCCACTGTGTATGTCATTGGTGGCTTGTGTGTTGGTGTTATGCTGTTGAACGGGTTTAATGGAGCTTCCAGTATGAGGCAGACCAGGAACAAAGGCATGGCAGTGTGTCTCTGAAAATCAGTTAATGAAAATGTTATAGATCACTGTGATCAGATCCCATTGTGAATGGGCTTGCCGTGGTTTGGGCATCAACTCAGCAGCAACTAACTGTCTTAGCAGTAAATTAGAGGTTTATAAAACATGAGTTTAAAATGAAGAGTAGGTTGTTTCCCATTCTTCTATCTCCAAAAGGAGTCTCCAAGATTCTCTTCCTTGGTTGGTACTAGTAGGAATAACTGCATCCACTTATTTTTAAATTGTGAACAGTAACATCAGAATTTCTGAACAATTGCCTTGAAAATAATATATGCCAAGACAGCCATATATATGTATATATGAAATGATCTCTCCTAATGCCCCTTTTCTGGCAGTATAATCAGTGGTGATGGTGGTGGTGGTGGTGGTGGTGGTGATGGTGATGGTGGTGGTGATTTTTGTTTTGTTAGTTTTATGTTATCACTTTGGTGGGTTTTGTTTTCATGGAATTCTTTCTCTGGAAATGGTCTTCCTTCTCTTTCTTCTGTTTGATTCATTATGCCTTAAGAGAGGGTGATATTCTTTAGTTAACAGAACAATTTTGTTGAAAATGGCACTGTCATGCCTTTTCTGATTTATCTTCTGTTCCATTTATAATTTTATTTATGAATAAAGGTAATGGTACTGTTTAAACCATGCCCAAGGAATTCATTAAAAGGTAAGTGTTGTAAGAAGTTGCTTCCTGGGGCATGTGCTGTTTCTCCTGCTTCTGCAGTGTTCCTTCATGTATTTACATTTATAGATGATAAAAATAGGTAATTTTCGTATTTGAAGGTGGGCAAAAGAGGTGATTTCTCTATGGCTGTGTACTATCTGATGATATCCTCTTGCTTTAGAAGCAGGAATGCATTTGTTTTGTTTTGTATTTTATTCTTTCTTTGCTCTAAAGTATGTTAACCAAAAGGTCTGCAGTTTGAACCCCCTCAACCGTTCCTTGGGAAAAAGATGAGGCAGCCTGCTTCCTTAAAGGTTTATAGCCTTGAAGACCCTATGGGAGTCATTATGATTCAGAATTGACTAGATGCCAGTGGGTGTTTTTTTTGTTTTGTTTTGTTTTGTTTTTTAATCTGAAGTGAAATGAGAAGTAACTTTTTTTTTTTTTTCTTAGTAAACTAAAAATTCTTCATGTTTACATGAAAATCTAGTATCAGTTTATGGACATCATTTACCCTTCCTGAAATCAATAGTTCTGAGCCTTGACTCTATTTTCTTCAGCTACACTGACTCATGGACAGTTAACTTGTTTCTCCATTGACTTTTTGATGTTTATGTAACTTAAGAACTTAGTACAAAAATTGGTAAACTTTCCTCAAGGACTCCTTTGGCAATTTCTTTTCTAGATGTGAAGGCTGTTGATTCTATCTTATATTTAATAGAAGTTAAGTACTTGGCTTAAACAAGGAGTCCAAAGGAAAATAATCATTAGCCAAGGGCTAACAGTAGCGTAGTGCCTAAGGCACTTGATTGCTAACCAGAAGGCTGGAAGTCCAAATCCACTAGCCACTCCTCGGAAGGAAGGTTGGGCAATCTACTTCCATAGTGGTTCTGCCTCGGAAACCCAAGGAGGGGTCGCTATGAGTCGGGTCCAACTCAACGGCACATAATAACAACAACAACAGTAGTTAAGTTGTCTCAGCCATATATTTAAATTATGTGCCCATATTTGGAAAAAGTCCTGTGACTTTTTTATTCCAGGCACCAGCAATATTTTAGAGTGTGAAGATTTTTCTCTTCCTCTGTGATTTGTCATATTTTGCACTCAAAAGATGTTTTAGTATCTATCTTTTCATATTTTTGCCCAAAATGGGAAACTAAGTCTAATTAGATTTCAAAGTGTGACGTATAAATCATATAGCTTTATGGTATTTTTTACTTGCACAAATACTCACTAATGAGTTGTCCTTTCCATGTAACTGCTAATATTTTGCACTTAATTAGATTTTTAAAAGTCAAAGAAAGCACTGGAGACAGAATGAAATTGCTCCAAGGTGCTCTACTTCCTTAATCTCAACCTTTTGTCATTGGGAATAAATTTAAGATCAATTCATATTAAGTATTTTATGAATCTAAGGTATTTGGGACTAATAGTGCTAATGGAAATTAATTTGATCAGGTAGATACATGGAGAACTGAACTTAGAGCTACTATTGAAGTTTCTTATCTTTTAAAATTTTGACAGGTGATGGATTTGTCTTAGAGTAGCTCATTTCTTTTCAAAGGTTAGTGTGTATTTAATATGCTCTGTCTGTTAGACCAGGCAGGTCAGCATTGATGTTTCTAATTCTGTTGATTTTGTTACTTATAAAAGATAACCAGAGATTTTTGTGGAAATGCAGGCAAAATTCCTTCATTTTAGCACGGCAGCATCAGGCCTATCATGTATAAACATTCTGGATCATAAGTTTGGTGAGCTTAATGTAAGATATTTTAAGGGGAATTAAATGTTTTCATACAGTTGTTTTTTTTTTTTTTTCAATCACTACAAATTGAAATGAGGACAATAATTAGGTTACAGCAAGGATTATTTTAGCATATCTTGCTTTTTATTATCAGTTGTCTAATCAGAAGTTAAACACTCAGATTCTGAGGTTTTAAATGCAGATCTCTTATTAATGCTTCTTTTTCACTTATCCATTGGGAATTTTAAAACTCAGACTGTTAGAGGTAGACATTGAATTGATCCAATTTCAACATTATCAGTCTCTCTCTCTCTCTCTCTCTCTCTCTCTCTCTCTCTCTATATATATATATATATATATACACACACACACACATACATATGTACACACACACATATATATAGGAGCTCTGGTGGTGTAGTGCCTAAGGCATTTGCTAACCAAAAGGCTGGCGGTTCAAACCCCACAGTCACTCCTTAGAAGGAAGGTTGGGCAATCTACTTCTTAGTAATGTTGTTGTTGTTGTTGTTATGTGCTGTCGAGTCGGACCCGACTCATAGTGACCCCTCCTTGGGTTTCCGAGGCAGTATCACTACGGAAGTAGGATTGCCCAACCTTCTTCCAAGGAGTGGTAATACTGCCTCAGCAACCCAAAGAGGGGTCACTATGAGTTGGATCTGACTCAGAGGCAGTGAGTTTGGTTTTGTTTATATATATATAAAACAAACTATGACATGCCTTTGAAAAGTTCTAGATAATAACTAGTTATTAATTACTTGTTATAGGTGAAAATTTTGACCAGAGTCCTCTAAGAAGAACATTCAAATCCAAAGTTCTGGCTCATTATCCTCAGAATATAGAATGGAATCCTTTTGATCAAGATGCAGTAAACATGGTATGTGTTTTTCTTTTCCTCTTCATTCTCTCTTTAACTTCCTTTCACTGCATTAAAACAGTGATACTGACTGTTTTGGGTGTCTACATTATCTGATTTAATTTAGTCCTTTAAACAACTCTGTAAGATGGGTATTATTATCCTCATGTTACAGGTGTGATTATTGTCCTCATCTTACAGGTGTGGACACTGAATCTTAGAGAGGTCAAATAGATAGGTGTTAACACCTCGGTGGTTTTCTTTCTGAAGATGGTTTTCCTTCTGTTTCTTCTGGGTGATTCATTGTGCCATAAGAGGGTGTGGTATTCTTTAGTTAACAGAACAATTGTATTGAAAACGGCACTGGGTCCCACAACTAAGTGTATACAACATATGCTGAAAGCCATTTTTTCCCTTACTCTTAATCTGTGTGTGTTTATTAATTTGTTAATATATAGATGCTTTGATAAACAGTGATGTTACTTTGTTTGCCTGGAGAAAAGCCTGATAGAAGGATCATAGTTACATTTTTTTATATGTCAGGTAATGTTGTATAATAACCTATAATTTGTCATTTTCACAAAGTTAAAATGGAGAAAAACTTTGCTGTATTATTTATATATTTAGTGTTGTTGTTAGGTACTGTCAAGTTGATTCCGACTACTAATGACCCTATGTGTAACAGAATGAAACACTCCCTGTCCTTTGCCATCCCCCAAATCATTGCCATAGTAGTAATTTGTTTATAGATATTTTAGAGTAATGTAATGATTTACCAGTGGTGAATAAAAGTCCCTTTTAGAGATTCTTAGAAAAAGGTAGATTATAGCTTAGAACATTTTGGAAGGATCCTTCTTAGAAGCTAGGACAGTGTTTTGGATCTCCATCAACTGTGAGTACATAAATCAGAGAGGGCCCTGAGTAAGCACATCAGTGATCAGGCATGATTGTCACAGAAATAACTAAAGGAGGACTAAAACACTGTGGAAATGTAGTTCTTTTTGAGTTAAAAGTTTGAGTAGTATTTTAAAGGGAGAACCAAAAGACACCATTATGACCTGATACCGTGTAAGAAGGAAATTAACATTTAGTAAATGCCTGCTGTGTACATTATGTACATTATTTTCACATATATGCTCACACGTATCTAGTGAGAATTATTTTACATATTTTACAGATGTTAAGTAGTTTGCCCAAAGTTATGCATTAAAAGTCTGAAATTAAATCCAAATTATTTGTACTCTCAACCTTAAGTTTTTTTCTACCATGCTGTCTCCTCTAAAGAAAAGATACATGTCTTAGTTTGCTAGTGCTGCTATAAAAGAAATTCCACAAGTGGCTGGCTTTAACAAACAAGTTTATTTTCTTACAGTTCAAGAGGCTAGAAGTTCAAATTCAAGGTGCCGTCTCTAGGAGAAGCCTCGGTCTCTGCTCTGGGGAAAAATCATTGTCTTAGCATGTCTAATGTTCTTCTCAGTATTCCTTGGAGATCTCCCCATGGAATCTATCTTTTAATTAATTAATTTTTACTTTTTGTGATTTGGGTGAAGGTTTACAGAGCAAATTCATTTTCTGTATATTTTGTTTCACGACTTTGACTGCAATTCCTCATAATGTAACAGCTCTCTTTCCACTTCTTCCCTTGTTACCTCCTCCCTTGTCCTTCTTTGCTATTCATTCCTGCCCCTGAACTACCTCCCTGTGAAACACTGCTCTTCTATTCTCCCACGATTGATCTGATCACTCTAAGGAGTGTATCTACTAGATGTAAATGTTTGCCCTGTATGCCTATCTATGGTTTTGCTGGAAGCCACAGGAATGAGTTCAGTTCCAGACCTGAAGGGTAACTAGGGACCACAAGACATTTACCTCTTTAGCTCATTCCTTCTTGTTTGGTTCTGTACCTCCTCTTTGTATTTCAAAAGTGATAAGACACACTGTATACTGATATGTCCTCATTTATGTAACAGAGAGAACCCTGTTCCAGGAATTATAACTATAGATATTAAAAAAAAAAAAAAAACCAAACTCACTGCTATCAAGTTGGATCCGACTCATAGCGACCCCTCCTTGGGTTTCCAAGGAGGTATCACTACAGAAGTAGATTGCCCAACCTTCCTTCTGAGAAGTGGCTGGTGGGTTTGAACTGCCAGCCTTCTGGCTAGCAGTCAAATGCCTTAGGCACTACGCCACCAGAGTTCCCAACCATAGATATAGATGTTAGGATTCTGACACATATCTTTGTGGGATGCAGTTCAATCAATAACAGGTATGTCAGTTTTGACCTGTACCAGAAATTACATGGGTCACATTGGACCCTGCCTTCTATTGCTGTATCACAATAAATCCTTTCAAATCTGGGCGTGCTTAAAAGAGGTAATAGCATGGTACTTTTTTAAGGACAAATGCTTAATGCACTTGGCACTTTGACTTTGATTGCTTGCTTTTTATTTATTTATTTTTATTGTGATTTGGGTGAAAGTTTACAGAGCAAGTTGGTTTTTCCATTCAAAAATTTATACACATAATTTGTGACATTGATTGCAATCCCACAGTGTAACAACGCTCTTCCCACTTACTCCCTGTATTTGCCCTTTCTGTTCATCCTTCTTTTCTATCCCTTTTTGTCTTCTTAGCTTATCTCTGAGCAAGATGCCCTTTTGATCCTATATGGTTGATTGTTCTAATGAATGCATACCTTCCTGGAATTATTGTTTACCTTACAGGTCTGTCTATTGTTTGGCTGAAAATTGAACCATAGGGAAGAGTTCAGTTCCTGACTTAAAGGTGTCTAAGGGCTATAGTCTTGGGGGTTCCACCAGTCTCTAACAGACCAGTAAGCCTGGTCTTTTTTATGATTTTGACTTTTGTTCCACATTCTTCTTCTACTCTATCCAGGACCTCCTATTGTGATTACTTTCAGAGCAGTTAGAATTGTTGACTGATTATTTGCAGAGCACAATACAGTTATTTTTCTTAAACTGTTACCCTAAACCAAAATAATCAGAGATCTCATTTTGCTGAAAGTTGGTATTGTTGGTGCCTGGTATCATCTTTGGTGAAGATAGCACTATACACATAAAGGTAGAATACATCTGTTAGTTATCTTTATGAGATATGGAGACACCCTGACAAGTTTCTGACTCAAATAGTCAATAGACAGCAATGACAGAAACAGTTTATCATCTGCTTAAGCCAGTAAATTAATCGAAAGATACTAAAGAAAAGAGTGAAAGAGTATCTAAATTAAGCAGTGGAAAATGGATAAGAAAGTGAATGGATTATAACACTTAATCTCCTTAAGTTAGTAAGGTATTTCAAAGTATAAATTATTCTGTGACAAATTAGAATTGTGTCCAAAACTAGGTTCTTACTAGTGGGAGTTAAGTTGTGTGCCACCTTGGTTACGTCTGGTTTTAAGTGGCTGAGCAGCTGTTATTCCCCATGGTGAGAGGGGTAATCAACTCCACGGTGGAATCTGCTGGAGCAACTGAGTAGCTGCCTTAGGGATGTGGTCTACTTCTAATATATAAGAAGCAACTTTGAGAAAGGTCTCTGCAGCTTTTTGGCATGGTTGGACCCTGCATGTAGCTGAGTCTTCATTCAGCAGTCTGCTATGTTTCCTGCTGATCTTGAGACTGTCTTAGACTTGAATTAGTGGCCTGCCATGTTGTTTGGTAATCTTGGGACTGTGTCATTTTATTTGTTGGCTTGGGGTTTTTCAGCCTCAGCAGCCAGCAGTTGCCTGAGTTAAGAGAAGCCTCTAGTTTCAGTGGGGTGAGAGCAAGAGACAGAGCTGAAGCCTAAGGTTGAGGAGCTTTCACCCAGCCTCTAGAGCTGGCACTTTGAACTTGGACTTCTAGCCTCCAATACTGTAAGAGAATAAACTCCTGCTAGTTAAAGTGATCCACCTGTGGTGTTTCTGTTAGAATGCCACTAGGTAACCAAAACTCTAGTTGATACCTAGTTGGAACAAAACATTACACTTGATTTTTTTTTTTTTAAATCATTTAAATGAAGTAACAGTGAGATAGCTGTAATAGATTTTGCCTCTGTCTGCAGAACATTCATCTTCAAGGCAATTTTCAGCTTCCTTGATCTTTGATATTTCTTTACCCCTTGCCTCTCTGATGTTATTTTATGTAAGCGTCAAAAGTTCTTTCAGAAGAATAAATACATACATAGGCTTGTGGTTGAAACTTCACCACCACACAGCATTTTGTTTATTGCTGCAAATCAAAAAGGATTTGCTGGCACCCCTTGAAAATCTCTAGAAAGCATTCCATTAAACTAGACTGCATTTGGGTCATATAGATTTACTGCCCTTAATTTCCTCTTTGATTTATTAGCAAGTGCATTTGTATGAAGCTATAATTTATTCCTGCCTGAAGGTATAAAGCTTTGTTTTTGCTTTTAGCAGAATTCCACTCAAACTCATTGCCTTCTGTAACTTCAGTTATTCCTTCAACCATCACTGGTACTTTCACACAAAGATTAAGCACCCAAAGCAGTGTTAAATAGAAAAAAACTATTTCTGTGTGTGCATAGGCTCTCTGGTGGCATAGTGCCTAAGGCATTTGACCACTAACCAAAGGCTGGCAGTTCAAACGTACTAGCCACTCCTCCGAAGGAAGGTTGGGCAATGTACTTCCCTGGTGATACCACCTCGGAAACCCAAGGAAGGATCTCTATGAATTGGATCTGACTTGATGGCAACGAGTTTGGTTTTTCTTTTTTTATGTGTGCAGTGCAAATATGATAGAAAATAAATACAACTAAATTAATTAGTCTTTATGTACTCTTTTGGTTTCTGATTGAGTTTTTTATGAAAAAAATTGAAATACTAAAATATAGAATAATACAATAAATAATTGTATACTTACCATGCACAACTAATATACATCAACATTGATTTATTTGCTTCAGATCTATACTTTTCCTCTTACAAGAAATAAAGCATTACAAAAAGAGCTGAAATTCCCTGCCTTCCCCATCTTTCAGATTTCTTTGAGGTAACCTGT